TGTAGCTCCATATGCAGTTTCAGGTATTAATTACTTATTTATATTATGTCTCAGTAACGTGTGAGCCTGATTCTTTTTTAATGGACCAAATATATGGGATTTTTTTTACAAATTTGAACATGGACCCTTTTATACCATATTGAACTGCGTAAACATCTCAAAAAAAAAAGAAGTCAAAAATAGCCATTTTATGATCTTGTACTTAAAAAAATAATCATATATACTCATTTTTTTTAGGATTCATACATGCATTGATCCAATCGAATAATCTGCGCTATCTATATGCACTTTCAATTCATTTTCATATAGAAGCAAACTTTCCAAATTAATAATCGGAACTTTGTGATTGTGTCTTGAAATTTCATTCTAAGAATTTGAAACTTTATAATAATGATTATTTTTTTCAATTGTATATTGACTAGAAAGTGATTATTTGTGGATATTATCCAATTTTGAGTTGTTAGAAAAAAATTACTACTTCGTATAATTTTAGTTATTTAATTATATTATGTCTCAATATCAGAGATGTGGTACATGGCAATACAAGAGTGGTACATAGAGCTGATAATTCCCCAGAAAGTAGCAGTTTAGGCCAAGAAACTCGTCTTCTAAGCAAGAATAAAGCATCTCATCATGGCCCTTCATCTTCAAGTTCGAGGTCTCTTGCTAGATCAAACGGTGGTGGTAGCTCCACGTGTACTACTTCATCAAGAGGAATGCAGTTTCGTAAGCTATCTGGATGTTATGAGTGTCACATGATAGTAGATCCTAGCAGGTATATTTTTAATTTTAATTTCATTTTTCTAATACATTTTATTTGTGATTAATAATCTTGATATATAGTAATAATGAGTGAAAATATTAATTAATTTTTTTTATAGGTACCCTTTACCAAGGTCAACAATATGTGCATGTCCTGAATGTGGAGAAGTTTTTCCAAAAATTGAGAGCTTAGAACATCATCAAGCAGTTAAACATGCTGGTAAATCTTTTATTTTCTTAATTTCTTGTTTTATGTTTGAAAAATCTCAAATACTCCCTTAAAAATAAGTATAAATAATTTTCTATAAAAACTTATATATATAAAATTAGTATCCTGAAAAACATATGCTTTAAGAAGTTAAATAGATACACTTAATAATATCAAAATGATTGTTTATTATTCGTATCTATAAGTTAAATCCTTATATATTATATTTTCTTTCCTAGTTATATTCATATTCCTTTTGTTTAGCTTAGGGAGGGGTGGGGGGGGGGGGGTTTGGGGGGAAAAACCCTTTTTGAAAAA